GTCCCATGTGTCTCTGTATGGTCCCATATCTATCTGTCTTGTCCCATGTGTCTCTGTCTTGTCCCATGTGTCTCTGTATGGTCCCATTATGCAATGAGCAGCCTGGGCTCCTCCCCACCAGCAGAGTAAGGGGCCGTGGTTTGGTGTCAAATTACCGCTGACATCACTGACCACGTGTTGCAGGATAATGTGTCAGCACGTGTTGTTTTTCTTTGTGGAGCTCGAACTGTGAACTGGTGTCATGGTCAATGTGGCTCCTCGGTTTGTTGTGTAAAGGCAGGCCAGGCTAACCGCGCTAGCATGCCGCCTGGTGAAGCTAACGTGTCAGATGGATGACTGGTGGTTAGAACCCCTGACCGTGACGTGTGACCGTGACGTGTGGGACGTCACATTTCAGATCACTTGATGTTGTCCCAGTTCACTCTTGCTCCAGAGCTGCGTCACATTTTGTCCAAATACGTAATAATCATTTAAACGTGTCATCCAGGCGCGTGCGTCCCCGCTGAGTGTGAACGTGATCCATTCACCTCGGCCACAGTCGCTGACTAATGAACAGCCACAGTTTGGTGACAGACATGTAAACAACATGTAAACAACATGTAAACAACATGTAACTGGAGCTAAGCTAGGCGGCTAACAGGCCGGCTAGCAGCTCTGCCCCCCCCCCCCCGCTCAGCGGCCGCTTCCGGGCGGATAAACACACAGCGCGGCCCCGGTGACTTCTTACCGAAGGTCCTCCTCTGTTTGAAGGGTCTGTCGGACGGCATCTCTGTCGGGTGGTGACACGGGTGTAGGTCGCTGAGTGTTCGGGAGCAGCAGCTGGTGGACCTGCACAGTGTTCGATTCCCGGCGGAGTCTGAGGAGAAAAGTGCTCCCGACCGACAAAGCGAGCCCACCCAGCGGTGACGTCATCCGCAGCTCTTAAAGGGGACGTTCACCGCGTTTGACTGATTTCAGTTCTTGTTGTGGACTTTGTTAACAACAGTTTCTGCACTTATATAAACTGTTGACGACCATTTACACTGCTTTACAGACTCTTAGTAGCGCTCACCGACAGACAAGAGACACACAATGATCGAGTACAGACACACAACAGACAGAAAACGACATCAACCAAAGAAAAACAGACAGAAAACGATATAAACCAAAGAAAAACAGACAAAAAACGATATAAACCAAAGAAAAACGACAGCAGCCAAAAAAACGATGCAAAAGGAAGACACCCAATCACCAATGAGAGAAGCTCACAATTAAAACATGACACACACAAAAAGATGTAGATCGTCCAAAATACAGACGAACCCAGTCACTTATTTGTCTTGTACTTTAACTTCATGTCTTTATCTTTGTCCTCTTGGTAGATGCCTTTTTAAAATTTGCTTCATCTTTCCCTTTAACTTTATATTTAATTTGTCAGTTTTTAAACCAAAGTAAATGTGTTGAATGTGAAAACTTACATGACAATAAACACGATTCTGAGGAACACGACAGAAAACAAGACACAAGATTAGTTTCTCTTTTTTTTTTAATTTCTCAATTTGTAACAAATAACCAACAGGAAGTTGACATGACGAGAGCAGAGTGGTGTTTGTCGTGTGGTCGCTGTTTACCGCTGAGATTCTGCCCTTCAGCATCTTTAACAACAAAACAATAAATAAGGTTCCAGAGATTTTTGTTAAGATTGAACTGAAACAAACGATTTGAAGAGGTGCTGTGGTTCTCTCTCTCTTCTTTATGACTGAGGTATTTTAGCAGGTGTGTATTTTTCCCATGTGCTAAAATACATACGTGATAAACACATTGTCATAAAACCTGTGATGCACAGAGAGGAGACTGTAGTGAAATGCTAGAATACGGATCCTGTCGTAAAAGCAGATGCAGTTTTAATGCACCTTCACCTCTTGTCTTTAAATTACTTTGTTCAGCAAGTACATTAAAAAAAATCTAATTGATTAAAAGGTTCAGTGTGAAGGTGAAAGGGTCTATTGGCAGAAATTGAATATAAACTAACCAAAGTGATGTTTTAACTTGTGTTTCATCTAAACTGTATGAATTGTTTTCTTTACCCTTGAATGGGCCCTTTATATTTAAATACTTTATAATTACACCAGCAGCAGGTCCTCGCTACAGAGGCTGCCATGTTTTTTTTGTGTTTTTTTAAAGCAGCCCAGACTGAACAAATTAAACACCTTTTGAGTTTTTAACAACTGAAGCTATCACAGGTTCTCCATGGTTTTATTTTTTTTCGGAGGAGGTAATCAGCTGCAACCTCACCACTAAATGTCACTAAATTCTGACACTGAACCTTTAATGAGAGAAAATACAGTTTGTCTGTTTGACATGAACGACAGACGGAGAGAAATGAGTCAGGCAGCGGCTCCTTCTGGTTCAGTCTGAGGGATTCTGGATGACGATCAGGAAATAATCCTTATCTGTAAAAAGAGGCAGAGTAAATAAATAGTACAGAAAACCTTCTAACCACGTGACAACACTAGGGATGGTCATCGAGAACCGGTACTAAATTGGTACCAGTTCCTCATCGGTCAGTACAGAATTATCAATAATCTTCTGAACCAACTGTAAATGATACTCGCACAGCATGAATACATGAGTGAGTGGACGGATGGATACCTGGAGCGATCATGATCTCGTTCTTCTTTGAGCGGATCCGCAGGAAAGTGAGGTCGTTCTGGGGGTCGATTTCTCGGACGGTGCTCCTGGCCTTCATCACCAGCTGGTGGATGAGTCCGGCGTACTGCACCGTGCTGGAGTTGTCCAGTGTCGTCTTGATGGGGATTCCTGAAGTGACACAGAGGAATCATTCACCTAAAGGATTTCCATGTCTTCTCACCCCTTTGGAAGGTGCAAAGCTGCTTTGAACTCTGTCACACAAACAAATAAATGAAACTGTCCACCACTGATGATGCAGTTCCTGTAAACAGGTGGAGAGTGAGCTGATAAATATACAAACGTGTAAATAACAGCTGAATAAATGACTGTGTGTGGATTATCTGAGGTAGTTTTACCCTCCGAGTTGACGACGATGATTCCCTGAACTCCTTTCTGGCTCTGAATCCTCTTCAGAGTCTCTTCAACCTCGGCCTGAGACAAAGAGACAGTTAGTGTCAGTTCATTCTGCTGCTGAGACAAAGTGGGTGTCCACAGCAAAATACACACACACACACACACACACACACACAGGACAATACAACACACACACACAACACAACACAACACAACCCAGCTCCAGCTGCTGTCAGAACCACACACACACACACACACACACCGCTGCTGTTAACATGGCAACGCCCGGCTAACACAGTCCAGCTAGCTCCGGTTAGCATCCTCTAAACCTCCCTGTTGTAAAACAGCTGTGACCGAAACGTGAACGTGTTCGGTTGAAGTCAAATCTGAGTTCGTCTCTCACCATTTTGAGAAAGTGAGTGAAGAAGAAACTGGCCCCGCTACACAAATGCTAACAGCTAACAGCTAACAGCTAACTGTCCTGTGTTGTCGGGAGAAGGCGAGTGACGTCACGTCCGGGTCAACTGCCGCAACCGCTGCGTTCACGGCTCAGAGAAAAACGTGGGAGATATGAAATCCTCCGGGGGGAAAAACAGCGAAGGATGGAAGCTATGCTAACCCCTCCTAATGCACAACATTGGCCAAACATGTCCCGTATTCATTTCCTTTTTTTGAAATTTGAAATAAATGTATTTTATCATTTAACATTCATACATTTCACACAGCTTAGCATACAGAGACACATGGGACCATACAGATAGATATGGGACCATACAGATAGATATGGGACCATACAGATAGATATGGGACAATACAGAGACATCAAGTACGATACAGAGACACATGGGACCATACAGATAGATATGGGACCAGACAGATAGATATGGGACAATACAGAGACATCAAGTACGATACAGAGACACATGGGACAATACAGAGACACATGGGACCAGACAGAGACACATGGGACCATACAGAGACATCAGGTACTGTACAGAGCATCTACAGTAGGTTTCTTTGACTGCATAATACCTTCTTCATGAACAACAGCTGGATTTCAAGACACACCCACAACTTTTAACCAGCAACAGTTTAATATTTGTTTCACTTTTCAGAAGTGACTAAAATGAAGGAAATAATTATCAGATCGTGAAAATATGAAAGATAATTACAGGTGATGGGCTGATGTGCCCTCGCTTCAGGTTTCCTGTCTATTCATTCATACAAACAATAAAAAAACAACACCACAACAAATATAAATCTAAACAGTTCAGCTTTTAAAACTAGATTTTGGGTCCAGGACTCATCATATACACCGTGTGCCTTATGACTGCATACTATGTTGTACTGTGTCTTATGTTTTGAGTACTTTATTTGCTGCGTATTTACATGATCCGTTTTCAAAATTATTCATCATAGTTTGTCTGTATATTTACTTTAGGCTGTTGATTTGGTCAAATTGTCTTATTTAGAAGGAGCGTGAATGAGAGTTAATCCTGTAGTTTTAGACTTTCTGTCACTTGTACATTTATCAAATTGATGAAATAAAAACTATGAGCTGCTCTTCACTTTTGCTTTATTATTTTGATAATGAGAGTTAAAGTTGAACAGCTTTTCTTCCATTAAAAGGTTAAATAAATAAAAATCACAAAATAGACATCAGCAGCATAAGTAGAAGAAATAACAGGAATATTCAGTGACGTAAATCAACACAGATTAAAATGTCATCATAAGAAGCATCTGGACTTGTCCTCCCCACATCCTGCAATAAATCAAATAACCAAAAACTGAAATGAATTGAAAAGTCATTAACATGTTGTCTCAGATTGACACGGTGTCAGTTAAAGTGACAGAAACAATATAAATATAGACTTAATATAAAAAACTCTGAATTTTACTTTAGATTTAAAATTTATTTCTGTTAATGTGAACGATGTGGGCGTGTCCAGAAACCGCGTCAAGTCAAATATGAACAGACAAGTCCAAACAGGAAGTTTAAAGTTGTTCCCTTCAAAGTAAAGCTACATGTTTACATTAAAGGAGTGAGGACGACGACAATAGATAGATACACACACACACACACACACACACACACACACACACACACACATACATACATACATCGATAGATACACACACACACACACACACACACACACACACACACATACATCGATAGATAGATAGATACACACACATACATACATACATCGATAGGTGGATATATAAATATATAGATAACATAGTAAAATAAAGTACACAGAGGGAAATTATCCGTGAGCCTTTTATTTTTAGAGCCCTAACCGGAAACAATCGTGTATTTAAATGGTGTCGCGCAGCTTCCTGCGCTCAGACCGCGAGGAGCAGCAGAGGAGGAAGAGGAGGAGGAGGAGGAGGAATGGACGAAGATCCCGGTGAGTCTCATTAAAACTCTTTACCTGTTGGATTGTGTCACGTGGCGGCAGGAAGTAGACGGAACCATGTTCTCACGGTGTCCGGGGACTACTTTAACTGTTGCACAATATCGCGGTGTTGGTGTATCGTAAAGTTCAGAGATTTGTTTACGCACTGTGTCTCTGTCTCTGTGTCTCTGTCTCTGTGTCTGTCTCTCTGTCTCTGTGTCCCTGTCTCTGTGTCTCTGTCTGTGTCTGTCTCTGTGTCTCTGTGTCTGTCTCTGTGTCTGTCTCTGTGTCTCTGTCTGTGTCTGTCTCTGTGTCTCTGTGTCTGTCTCTGTGTCTGTCTCTGTGTCTCTGTCTGTGTCTGTCTCTGTCTCTGTCTCTGTGTCTGTCTCTGGAGAATGTTTCTTCCAAGTATTAATTACTTCTTTTTAATTGTCTCTGTCCTTCGAAGTGTTTGTTGGATCTAAACCTGCTTCTCCTGAAATCTTCCTACACACGTGTTAATCATTACATACATGATCTCAAGGCACTTCACGTGTTAAGGTCGAGAACTTCAGGGAAGAGTTCACCGAAGAAAAAAGCAGATTCACTCGATATCTTCTCAGCACCGAGCAGCTGGAGGGTGAAGCCCGTAAAACACTGGTGGAGTTTCAGGAGTTTGAACGAAACACTGCCTGCCTCCATTCTGCTCCGGCGGTGTCGAGTCTTCGTTAGCCCAGACTTTCACATTCCACTCGAAACGAGGTTGTTTATGTGTTTTTAGCCTAAATGTCTCTGTGGTCGTCCTCTGGAGACACGTTCACGTTGGCTCGCCGGACGACACCACAGGAGACATCTCACTCCCTCGTCCCTCCACCTACATGGTGGTGAGCAGATAATGAGTGAGCTCCGTTTGAATCCAGACGTAAAAATGTTGATTATTTTCCGAGGACAGGTTCTGATGATCAGCCGTAATATTTTTACCATCCGAGGTCGTGTCACCACAAACACAGATGAGATGTTTTTTGTTGTTGTTGCTCTGGATCAAGTGTTTTTGGTCTCGATTCATCTCGGAGCTGGTCGACGTGGTTCTAAGTTCTCATGAGTAAATGAAATGTTTACTCTCATTGGGACGAAGCCGGTTAAATAAGAGCTTTTTTTTATAGAATCAACAAAGCAGAGTCGATGTGCATTCATGTTTATATTTGTTTGATCAATTCTATATGTTTATGTTTTCTTTATACTAAAGTTTATATTGAAGCTGTAAAATATTTCTTTGTCAGGACGGTTTGATCACGATAACCGTTGAATTTTTTTCTCTTTATCCGTATTGGAAATGTTTTATTTCCTAATATCAGCTTCTGGCTGTGATGGTGAGACTCTGAGAGAAAGAGCTGCACAGAGAAAGAGTCTCAGGAGTATTGTGGATTCATTGTCCCGTCAAAGCTTCAGTAATCAGACCAGCTTTGTTCTCACATTCCTTCTTTCTCCCTCCCTCCCTCTATAGCTTTACTCCTCTCTCACCAACGAGCCTCCCTCGCACCCTCCTCCCCCCCGTCCTCTCCCTCCATCTCAGCCCAGATCTTTTTGGGGAAACACCTTCTCTCTGATATTTTTATCCCTCGCCCAGAGTTATTGTCTGCAGCTTGACACGAGCACACGGACCCGGCTGTATTTTTATCTGCCCGGCGTCAGGAGAAACCATGGCTCATGAAAAACACCCAGAGGAGTCGGCCGTCTGTTGGTTCGTTAACAAAGTGTTTGTGTCGAGTTAAATCATGACGCACGTCAAATAACCGGCTTGGTGCCTCGGAAGTGTCTCAATCAAGGCACTATTGTGTATATTTGTGTAGTATTACTGTGCTGCTAGACAACCTGATGCAGTTCTGTGTTTAGTGAAAACAAGTTTGTTTCAGTTCGGGAAGTCGAAGCTCGGCTAAGTTTTATATTAGTTACACAATTAGTTACAATAACACAATAACAAATACACTGAACTCCACTCATTTTAGTTTGTGAGCAGGATTACACAAAAACCACTGAACCTGTTTTCCATGAAACTTGGTGGAAAGATGGAACATCATTCAATTTGAGATTTTTCCTTTTCATTGATTTCTCAGAGAGTAAATCCTGGATCTTGTTTAAGATGTGAACTCTGGAGGGTTTCTCGTATATTTGGGTCCAGACTTTCTCCGGAGATTGTTTTTCACATATGATCAACACAGCAGGAGATTCTCTGTTCAGAGACGTTCACAACAACTCACAAATCTCTGGAGCGTTCAGACGAGTGGTTGCACAGCCGGCACGGACAGGATGTAATGTGTTTGTTCTGCTGTGGAGATCACATGGTTAACACCGGCGTCGGCCCTCATCACCAACTGCTCTGGAATCTCCTCGTCTTTCCAAGTTGACGTCTTCTTCGTGTTCGGCTGCTTTTCTTCATCCTGAGATATTCGTTTTTTTCTGTTGGGCATCTGTCTCTGGTTAAAATCATCATCATCATCATCATCATCATCATCATCACACCCACTCGCTCGCAGTGACTCCTCCATGTGACCTCTCACATCAGCTCAGTGGGACATTATCTGGAGTTTTAACGTGCGTGTAGCTGTGTGTAGCTGTGTGTAGCTGTGTGTGTGGGTAGCTGTGTGTAGCTGTGTGTGTGTGTAGCTGTGTGTAGCTGTGTGTGTGTGTAGCTGTGTGTAGCTGTGTGTAGCTGTGTGGGTAGCTGTGTGTAGCTGTTTGTAGCTGTGTGTAGCTGTGTGTGTAGCTGTGTGNTGTGTGTGTGTGTAGCTGTGTGTGTAGCTGTGTGTAGCTGTGTGTAGCTGTTTGTAGCTGTGTGTAGCTGTGTGTGTGTGTAGTTGTGTGGCTGATGTTGTGAATGGAAGACAAACTCTGAAGTTGTTGCGTCAGGGCCCTGCTTTGCTGTTACTCCTTCTCGAGTGAGCTCTTTGTACAGAAGTCACGACTCCATTCAGACGACTCCTTTAACAACCCAGAGGTTGACGCAGGGTGTGGACAGAAACAAGGTTAGAGGTGAACTTGCTCCGTTTCCTTCCAAACTGAGTGGACGAGCAGGAGGCGTGTTCCATCGAGCTTTTAGCAGATCTCCGAAGAACAGGAAGTCAAGTTGTCCACTTGTCTGAGTGGAGTAAATAATATTATGACTTTTTCTTTATTCTTGTAAAGTTGTGAAAATTATTCTCCGACGATTTTTTTTCATTTCTCAATTTTCACCAGGGCCCCAATAGTTTTCCACCAGAGCCAAGAATCCTCCGTTTTAAATTTCAGATGTTTCAACACAAATGTGAATTAGAACCAGAGGGAGGGAAACAGAATGAAGAAAAGATTAAGGGAGAAACAATAATTCATCCATTGTCTCAAGTTCAATGAGACACTTGTTCTTTGTCTTCTCAGGTGCATTTGATCCAAACATCCCTGAAGAGGGACCTTCAGCGCCCCCTCCTGGTTGGCTGGATGACATACATGGATACCAGGGCCATAAAGGAGGCCGTGAGTCTTTGCATCTCTTCTGTTTTTTTTTTAATTAACATTTTTCCAAACCGTCACCTTCGTTGTTTTTGTGTAAATGTTTCCAGCGGATGACCCGTTGTACCCCCCTCCCCCGGCCTACAGCCCCCAGCCTGAACTCAACAGGAACACCCTGGTGCCCAACGTCAGGTACTGCACACACCAGTAATTCACTTTGTTTATGAAACACTTGACTCTGTGCTTCGTCTTGAATTCTCTCAGGGTTTCAGACAGAAAGTTGGAGGCATGATGGGATAACAGATGTTGTGTGTTTGGTCCCTCAGGGTCCCAACGATATCGGAGGATGAGGCCCGACACGCCCTGCTCAAGTTTGTGGAATCAAAGTGGACGTACAGTTCCAAACCCGCCAGGAACCTGACGTTCAGAGAGCTGCAGCCCATCACCGTCTACCGGGTACGAGCACCGTTACCTCACCAACAACGGTTACTGTGTGAAGAGTGGAAATAACTTTATTTAACACATTATTTAAAAAGGGAGATTAAGTTATTTCTCTCACAGATGATATAACAAAAATAAAATCAGCTTCTTAAGGTCCTGTCTGTTTTGTAGAAAAAGCCCAATTTCCACCTCAAACATCAAATCATGTATTTAAATGTATAATTAACATGTTAGTCGGCAAGAACACGGAGAAACTACGACCACCGAGGGAAGTTTTGTTCCTGCCGATGTGAGTTGTGTTTTCTGGTTGAAACAAAACACACTGTCTCAGAATCCACCTCAGTGAAGTTTAATCTGGATTATAGTGAGTGGGGGGGTTTTCTCATCGTCTCCTTCCTGCTGCAGTATCGACTGGAGACCTACACTGAGACCAGAACCAGCGCCTGGCAGTTCGAACCTTACAACGGTAAAACTTCACTCTGAGCGGACGAAGTTAAACATTTCACATTGTCACTTTTTATGTTCCTGCGCTGGCGACACCCTGTGGCCGGAGGCATTATGTTATCCGGGTGTCTGTCCTCGTGTTTTGAACACGATATCTGGAGAACACCTCAAGAGAATATCTTCGAGTTCGGTACAAATGTTCATTTAGACTCACAGATGACATGATTAGAATTTGCAAGATTAAGGTCAAAGGTCAAGATCACTGTGACCTTATAAATCATACGTTTGCCCTGAACGCAGCATCTCAGGAACACTGAGTGAATTTCTTCAAAGCTGGAAAAAAAACATCCACTTTAGATGAACGAATGATATTTTAGTGATGGTGATCCGTAACTGACCGCAGTACCACACTTCATTATGTTGTCTTCAAACAGGACAAATGGTGGATGGTCCTCAGTACGGCATGTGTCCTCAACCGTGGGACGTCCCAGTGACTCTACCTCAGAGATACACCGACATGGTGGAGAAGGTCCGCGTGCCGCACACCTCCTTCATAAAGGTACAGCTCCTTTTTTAAAAAGGATTAAACTGCCTGTTCTTGGAGTCTGATCTCTTTTTATTTGTATATTTAGTTGTAGTTGTAATCTCATGCTGTGTGATCTTCAACTAAAGTTGATTATATTCGTTATATTATTATATATCATGTTATGTACGACGGTCAGATGTGGTTGTGTGTTTTTCAGCTGTGTCACAAATGTAAAGGCTGCGGAAGAACTCGCTGCAACAACTGCTTTGGTCGAGGCATGGTGAGACTTTTCTCTGTTCACGATTACACATGACTGATATTTCTAGAGGAAGAAGAAGAAGAAGCTGTAATAAAGTAAATGTTTTACACGTTGACTTCAAAAAGACATAAATGACCGATTGATCATTAAATTGGTGGTCCATTGTTTTTCTGTTTGAACGTCATTATCAGTGTCCTCAGAAAAGTTGCAGAGTGAAATGTGTGTGTTGTGTTTACAGTCATAAATCTCGGAGATGACATCGGATCTGCAGCAGATCAACCACACTGAGTTAAAACAACATTTTTCTCACAGGAGAACAAGACGCTCAGTGTGTGCGACTGTAGCTTCAGGCAACAATTCCTCAACATTCTGGGCTTGTAGAAAAAAAAAAAAAACAGCTCGGCTTTGTAATAATGTGGAAATTAAAGGACACGCAACTCAGACCCACATGTTGTTTTGCAGAAGCGTTGCACTTTCTGCCACGGAAACGGTCGATCCAGGAACAAGCGCTGCACTTCCTGTCACGGCCGAGGTCGCAAGAGGTTTGACTGGTTTCTTTCTTTAAACTTTTAGAAGGTCACATTAAGCTCAGTGGGAAAACTCAGGTGAATTTGAACACGGGAACAGGTGAGAGGAGAGGAGACGTGGAGAGTGTGACTCCAAAGGTCCGTTCTGTTCCTCTGTGCCCACGTGCTGTCAGACATGTTGTTTCAGGTTCTTCCCTCTCGGCCCTGCAGGTGTATCTCCTGTCACGGCAACGGCCACAGGACCTGCTCTATTTGTCACGGGAGCCAGAACCTGCTGCATTTCATCCTGCTCACGGTCACATGGTCTGTCAACCCTGTGTCTCACTCTGTCCAGACCTCTTCTCCCGTCCGTCACGTCTGAGCTGATTGTGTTTTTCTGTGCGTGCAGGAAAAACAACGTAGACAACTTCATTCCCGATCGCCAGCCGGACTTTCCTGACAAGAAGTTTGAGAAAGTGACAGGAGATCCTTTCTTCATCGACGAGAACGTTCTGGTAAAAACGAACATTACGTTGTGAAGCATCTTTTTAACCTAGAAAACCCTCCCCTTTAATAACCTGAGGATTTAAAACTGATCTGATTTCATGAGTGAGAGAGAACTGGGGATAATGTCCAAGCTGGAGAAGCGGTGCTGACCACGTAGAAGACACAGATGAAGCTGTGGAGAGAGTGTGTGGCGATAGAGCTGGAAACAAAAACACATGACCTCCGCAGCAGAATCAACATCAGCTGCTCTTTGTGGACAGTTTGGAAAGATTCATTGTTATCTCCGCTGCGATGGCTGACTTCTCGTCCGCCTTCATGTCCGGTCATGGCTCAGATACAAACGCTTGAGTGGAACAAACCTGTCATCGTCTTCCTCTGTGTCCTCTCAGGTTTATCCCATCCAGGGTTTCCCCGATCAGGAGATCTGTGATGCTTCTTTAAAACTGATCAACGAACACCTGAATCGTTTCAGCTCCACCAGCCGCATCCTGCAGCAGGTAAGAAAAACTCTCAACATGTTGTGGTGTGAAGTCAATGGTTGACCTGAACGTGTAGTTTTCCACCCAGGACACCAGATGTCACTATAACTCCTCCTTTGCTGATGGTTCAGTTTGTTTCTCGCTCCATGAATAAAAACTGAGCGTTTGAGGGATTTATTATTGATTTTTTTTAATGTTAATGCTGCGTTTCACTTTTCTCTGCAGCGTCAGACCATCGAGCTGGTGCCGCTGACTCACGCTCTTTACTCGTACAAAGGAAAAGACCGCAGCTTCTTCGTCTACGGCACGGAGAACAAAGTGTTTACCTCCAAATATCCCTCCGCGTGTTCTATTTCATAGGTGACTGATAACACCTTCATTTTAAACACGGTTTGAATGTGTTACTTTGATATGTAGATTTATAGACTTATACATTATAGAACATGTCCAGTTAGTTTCCAGCATAGACAGTTACTTTACTGACTTCTAGTTCTTTTATAAAATACAGTATACATTCATGTCGTGTTACTAAGTGATGGCATAATGTCCTGTTATAGATTTGAACCATTTCACACGACCTCAGTTCCAGGTTAAAATGAGTTCATTCATTTTACACTTTGATTATTAATTCTGTTGGATTCCATCGAAGATTTGAACCTTGGTTTCCGTCGGGTTCTGTATAATCCAGTGAAATCCAGGAAATCCAACGTGCCTGTACTAACGTCTGCTACCTCTCCACTGTCAGTCGACTGAACATGTGTTCAATGAAACTCATCAACAGATCAACTTAGTACCAGAATGTCACTCGTATCCCTCCGCCCAGGCCGAGCAGCACGTCACGTGACTGTCTAGTTCTTGTAGTGTTTTCACAAACAAACAAACAAACAAACAAACAAACACCTCCCTCCGGAGGTGATTGTGCTTCGAGATATTATCTGATCATCTTGAGTTGATTTACGTCCTAGAGGCAAATCTCAGAAACCTTAAACTGTAAATGACTCGAGTGTTTGTTGTGTGTATTTTAACTTTCTGTGGGCTGAACCACTACTTCATGTTAACCATTGATTCGTGCTCCAGGACGTCTGTTGTTCTTTTACATCGTCTGTCTCGTGTTCCTGAACCTGGTTGGTTTTTAAACACAAGATCATCATCAACAGTTTGATCAGAACACGTTTTTTCTATTCTCCTTCTCTGAACATCCAATACCTATTCTAGTAATTGATTCATTAATAATGAATTCTGCTTTTCTTCATCTCCGTAACCTGAGCGTCTTTAGGTTTATGAATAAACAAGCTGCAGGAAGATGCGAGTAAATAATGAATTTTCCAATCAATAGAATCAGACTTTAATTGTGTCGCTCTTTTCATACAGACAATGTAAAACAGTTGTGTCTGTAAAACAAATGACAACAAGAGAAACAACATCTGTGACCTCATCCTGTCCACAGAGCAAATGTCTATTTACTGTCAGAGAAAAAGAAACTGACAGGAATAAAACAACAAAATGATAAAAAGAGTTAAACTTTAGGGCATTAAAGAACAAACGACTCATCAAGGAGAAGATTAATTCAGATTTAAATCATCTGTTAGTTTTCATCCAAAATAAAAATGAAAAAGATTTTGAATATTGTAAAAACCAAAGACGAGATTTGGTTCCAGAAGAGTTGAAATAAAAACTGAGGAGATGTTTATGATTTATTCATCCAGAATCACAGCGACTGAAATGAGCCAGTTTGATGTGGAATCACAGAAAAGTGCTGAACATGAAATAAATAAGCTGTTTTGCAGGTTAAATGTTGGTTTTAGTTTCTACTCTGGTGCTTTACCGACTAAATAAACCTTAAACGTATTGATATCGTTCATCTCGTCCTGATCCTAGTTCCGATACGTGGACCTTGTGCAGCGGGTAGATATCGAGTACTGATCTGATTCCATGCGTTACAAATAACAGACATAATGTTTTTTACGAGCTTGAAGCTACTAACCCTGAAACTCTTTTTTTCTAAAAGTTTCCTAAAATACAACAAAGCCCATGTTTCTGTCTTTACCGACAGTTTGTTCAGCCTCTGACACTGCGACGACCCTTTATGGTTTATACATATATATTATAAACACATTTCTGTTGGTTTTGTTATTTCTTATATGTTTTATTCTTTTCAGCTCAGGATGCTTTTATACAATAAATTCTCTGTGTCCATGAACAATCACTTACGTCAGTTTCAGACGCATCTTTCACAGAAAACAGTTTTTTATATAATTTTTACCAGTTTAAAAATATGTAAAACAGTTTTTTAAGGACGAATGAGGCTGAACATGTTTGAGAGAGGATGTGATGGAAGAACTCACTGAGCCTCTCGTCCAGACGTGTTCTCCTGCTTCTTTTTCTACTTTTAATAGGAAAGAACTGAAGATCGCCTTATACACCTCAACATACTCTGTGTGACATGTAATTGTCTAAATAAACTTTTACAGCTAAACTTACACAATCTGGTATTGTTTTATAAAAGCTTCAGATGTATTCAAATGAGTTGATATGAAAGATATTTCATGTTTTCATCCTGTTGTGTCTGAGTCAGTTTAGAAATGAATGAAAAACACGAAAGAATCATAGCGATCTGAATTTTAGGGATTTATTAATTTGTAGTCCCAGATTGTCAGATGGAATCCAGGAAGACGGACGATAAACCAGGAGGAAATAAAAGCTACTGAACCATCAAACCTCAAAGCTGCAGCTTTAACTTTAATAATAATAGTACTAATAACTAATACTTCTCAAATTAAAGTTACTCTCATTGAAACCAAACTTCTTCAGATTAAATGAAAAAGGCAGTTGAGGGTCAGACCTGTAATTATTACATCACAAATCCAGCTGCTGAACGTGGCCTGCAGCTGTGTACACACTGATTCCACTAGAGGGGGCTGTTTCACACAATGAAGGACACGACTCGGATCTTCAGGTGCTGCAGGAAATGTAGGAATTTCTTAAAATTCAACTTTACGAACCTGGACGCTGGAAAAAAAAAAAGGTCAAGAAGCAATAAACACGATGTCATTTAAAATCAAAGACAACATCAAATAATATAATAATATTCCTCTCCTATATAGAGGAAATGTATTTTGTTAAAGATCATTTGTAAAATCCTTCAAATGGTCTTTTCAACAATAGTAATAATAATAATAAAGTGTGTTTATGACTTTGCTTGTGTTTATTTTCTTTCTCTGTGTTTATATAGATAGAGATAGATAGATTGATAGATTGATAGATAGATAGATAGACAGGTGATAGATAGATAGATAGATAGATAGATAGATAGATTACTGTATTCATCCCCAAAGGGAAATTAGGTCGTCATAGCAGTTTGATATTTGGATACAATAAAAATACAATAGAATAGGATGCTGTAGGTAGCAAAAAATAAAAATAAGAAATAAAATAAAAACATGAAATAGGACAAAGCACTTAAAAAACACAAGATAAAAAGGTAGATAAGGTTAATATACAGTATATAATAATAGTACAGTATATATAGTATATATAATATAATACAGCAATAATAATAATATAGAATAATAATAGTATATATATTATAATATATATACATAATATCAGTATAATAACAGTATATAGCTAATAATGGCAGCAACAGTATGGTATAATAATAATAATAATAATATACACATAGAAATGTGTCCTATATTTAGCCTGTGCAATGTGTGCATACGTACATAACTGCAACATATAATATGTACACATGTATAAATATATACATATAAATACACACAAGATATAATATGATATATGTTATAGGTATAATATATGCATATAATACTTGACTATACACGATATACATAAAATAGATTATATAAATTATATAAAAAATGTACATCTAGATTTTACTTCTTGTTCTGATTTCTAAAAGTAAATAAGTAAATATTATATCGTGTCCTCAAGTGTTACAGGTTTCCTGGAGTGGTTTTCTCCGAGCAGCCCCTAAACGCAGCAGGGGGGGAGGAGAAGGGGGCGGTGTGTCAGGGTGGGGGCGTGGCTCCTCCCGCCTCGCTCCCACATGTTCGGAGTGTTTATAACGAGAGGATCCTGCAGGTGACACACAACCGACTCACAACCGACACACAACCGACTCTGAGCCGCATCACGTCCACGTTGGTCCAGGCGGAACGATCCGAGTCCTCCCGTCACAGCTGTGAGTCTCCAACAAGTTTCTCTGTGAAATGTTTATTGGAACATCTGATGAGGGTCACGTGCGGCATGAGATTTAATTTCCTCGCCTCCTCTCAGATGATCTCAAGAGGAACTTGCTCAGGGTTCCTTGCGGAGACAGTTTTCCAGAAGTCCTTGATAGTCATGGAAACTCTCCAGAGGTCCTCGCTGGAGTTCTGAGGTCAATTAGAAAGTGTCAGAAGGAGCCTGAGCAGGTTCCTGCAGAAGTTTGAGTCCTGGTGCTCCTCCCAAACCTCCAGGGGCTTTGAGATGGTTTCAGAGTCCTGGGACAGGTTGGCGGTCGGTGTGGATGTCCTGAGCAGTCTTGTGGGTTTGGTTGTGTTTGACGAGGACCCAGGGATTGTTGTTGTAGTTTGTTCCTTACAGAACTTCTGGTTGTCAAGTTTCCTGATGTTTCTACCGAACGTTTAAAGTTTCACTGAGGAGCTTTTTGCGAGTTCTTGTAGGAGTTTGTCAGAAGACTCCTGGATTCTTGTCTCAGGATTTGTGGTCACTGAGGAGTTCCAGGGACGTTGGGAGGAGGTTGACAGTCCTCGTTTGTCAGTGTTGAGGTTGTGGGGACTCCTGAAATAGGTTTTGTGGTCATGGAGAAGGTTTCCTCATAGGACTGGTGGTGGTGTCAGAAGTTTCCACAGGTCCCTCCTGAAGTTGTGCTGAAGGTTATTGAGGAGTTTAAGGAGATTCAGGAAAATAACTTTCAATTATTTTTAACGTCATTAATTCCAGGAGGAGAATTTGGTCTCTGAACATCTTCACCTGTCGGTCGAAGACGGGATGTGAACGTTTGTTCCGTCTGATTTGTGTGTTTGTGAAACAGTCGTCCCAAAGAACAAAGTGTCTCTGTCCATGTCGACGTCTCCGCTCTGTGAGTAAACCTCCCGCAATTGTCTCAGCCCTTCCTGTTATGGAGTTCAACACCCCCACTGCTGTACAATCTGTGTGTGGGACTGCTGTTTCCTGCCGTGTGCGTGTGTGTGTGTGTGCGTGTGTGTGTGTGTGTTGTTGTTTTCCTGGTTGTATTGTGTCATTGTGTTTCCTCTCAAACAGTCGTGGTGATAAAACAGTGACGCTGGTGCAGAGCCACCTGTAGGATGTTTGTGTAGAACATTTACTGAACGTTTGTACAAAACGTCTCCGTCCTCAGACCGTCCATCGCTGCAGCTCCTCTTTTCAGCCTCTGTCTCAAACACTGACATTCTGACTGAAATGAATGTTCAGTCCGAGCTGTTCTGTCGTCACGTGACCTCATGATGCTTCTTCGAGATTCTTGTCTCTGTTGACCCACGACGTCCTGGATCTTCAGCGGTGTTTAAAGTCCATCAGCAGCTCTCACTGACTGAGACTGAACCAGAGGCGGCAGGAGACGGAATCAAGTGAAAGTGGAGGATTTGCGTCACGATAACAGACGGATCGTTGGGCGTGGGACGGGGCTGCAGCTTGTATTTCAAAAGCCCAATCAGGTCTTCACATCGCTCCGGGACTAGAATCAACAAAGAGTCCAGATAAAGGTCGTATCTGATGGCTGCCGGCCAAAGAGACCTGAAGTTCACAGCTGCAGCATTTAGATCTGAGTCAACTGCTCCCTTTGTTTCTGTGAGTCTGGAACTTTAAATACAGAGTTTAAGAAAGTTTACTGGAGTTCTTTTCTCCACGTCATCACCTGAATCCAAATAATGGACCTGCTAATTCTGCCTGTGTGTGTGAGTCCAGCAGCAGCAGCTCCGGCTCCATCACTGCAGGTCACTTTTACAGTTTCAGACAGAGAAGCTGGAACCAGCTTCACCGCAGAGCGAACGGACGCTGCACCGTGCAAATCTTCGTCCTCACACTGTGTCTCCGGACGCCTGAAACACTGCGGGAGCTGGGAGCGAAGCCAGATCGATGCCAAACTCAGAAACGAGAGAATGTAAACCAGACGTTCAAACACATGTGCGACCCGTGTGAAATCGAGACGTTTCACGTCCGTGCAAAATGAGAAGCACATTTGAAATGATGCTTGAGGGAAGATCCAAGCACGAGGAAACATGCTGCTCAATATGATCCAGTGTGAAGGTGAGACACCGTCTGTCCGACGTGTCTGATCCGACCACAGCTCACGTTTCTACAAACCAACACGTGTCGTGTCAGATCTACAGGTTCAGAGCTGAGGCTGAACTTCTCCCTCAAAGTCGAGCTGAAGGTCCGACCGAACGTAAAACCACGAGTCGCTCAAAGTCAACTTTATAAACTTTATTGTCAATTCTGTTATTTGAACGCGTGTGATCGAAACGAGCTTCCTCTCTAATCCCCAGTGTACAAAACACAGGTACGCAGCATATTTAGTGTTCAACGCAACGCATCAAGTACTCAAGTGACACAAGTACACAACTCAGCAGCAGTGAACACAGAGCATGAGAATGAAGTGATGAAAAACTGTGTGTGTGTGATTTTCTCATGTTATTGGCAGGTTGACAGAAAATCTCTTGGTTTTAAAATCTGATTTAGTTTATTAACCCTGAGGGACAATTAGTTTGACAGCCACAGTGAAAGACAACAATAAAAGAGGACAGTCGACAACATAAAAAAAACACAACAACTTACATTGAAAAGTCCAGTTGCATTGATTCATCACTTACTGGAGGAAATAACACATTCACCGACAGAATGAGGAACGGAGATTTATAATTTAACCTTTGCTCAGGCAGCCGGGGCTTCGTGTCTTTACTTCATATAATTTCATACTTATTTCGGGTTGTGGTTTTGTTGGTCGGACTTCTAAAAGCGTCTCTATGGATCTGAAGTTGTGATGAGGATTTTCCGTTTTATATATAAAATAACTATATTTCATCGAGGTGTGTTAAAGACGGCTGAGTGTGTGTTTGCTCATGTGTGCTTTGATTGGCCCGGGCAGACGTTCCAGTTTGTGAGCGCAGCTCTGCCATAACAAAATACAAATCTCTGCGAAGCTTTTATTTGACCTGTAACCTTCGGTGTTCGTAAACATCTCATCACGTCTGCGCCCCCCTGCTGCAGGAGGAAGGCTCACGTGGGCTGTTATCCTGAGTTAAGACTCGTGGGCCAGCGACCGCAGGAGTCTGGTTCTTTGAGGCCGAAGTGGGACCGAGACAGAACCAGACTTTACATCACTTTTAATGGAGCAGCTGACGGCGGGAGTTGAGCCGGAGTCAGGGACGTCACGTAAACGATTTAATGTCCTCAGCAGGAGAGACGAGTAAAGTCAGCGCACAGTGGAGCTAAATGT